AAAAGTTGCGAGAGAGAGGCAAAATTGTTCCAGATATGATCGGTGTTGGCGTTGCAGCAGAAGACTCGGGGGAGGGGGGGGGGGTTGGGTTAATAATACAGAATCTATTCCATGCTTTCATGCGATGTCGGGGGGGGGGGGGGGGGGGGGGGGGGGGGGTTTGTTACGCGCACGCACGCTGTCAAAGCGCGACGGCGACAAAGAAGGAAAAATAAAAAAAGAGACCGGCGGCAGAATAAAACCGGCGTGACGTACGACGGCGTTCTTGCGAATTTCGCGAAATATTAAGAGGCCGTGCGCGGCACGGGGCGTGCATTTGCATTTTAATTGATTGAGCCGTAACGGCATCGGCACGCGGCCACGCGTTCGCCGCGTGCCAACACAACAAGGCGAGGCAATTAGTTTTTTTTCCCAGTGCAGGCCACGGCACGCAAGGAATTAATTAATTCCATCGGGGGGGGGGGGGGGCAGTGGAAGATGGGATACAAGCACACCTGAGCGGAAGGCAAGGGAATCTCGCCACCGCTGCACCAAGGCAGCGAGATGTCAACCACCTCGCCTGGCATACGGGAGGTCGCGAGTTCGATCCCGAGCCTGACGCCTGCTGCTGTATATTTGGAGGTTGCATTCTCTCCCCGTGGTCGCGTGGATTTTTCTCCGGGTCCTCCTGTTTTTCCCCTCCACATTTATCATCGACATCACGCGCTTAAGAGTGTTTGGCTGCGATACATTATACACACGAAATGTTAGCCGCTTGGTTGGGCTAACATTTGTGGTGGCCAGGTCGTTTCTGAACAAGTGGCCGTATAAAAAGCTCAGCGAGGGACCTGACCCTGGTCAAATAAAAAAAAATTAAAGAGTTTTCGTTTTTAGCTTGCAACGATCCACCAACTGTGCCTCCAGAGCGCTGGCTCGTAGAGCGTTCATTTCGGTCTCCGAGCCTGGCACGGACGGAAGCCTTCGCCTTACCGCCGCGTCCCACAATTGTGAACGCTCGCAGGAAGGTCATTTCCCCCGGCCGAGTGAAATCACCGATAAAATGAATAATTAACACTGCCACGGCGAGAAGTGGGTAAACCGGATTCGATGGGTTCAGTCCGGTCGCCAAAGGCTTCTTAACGTTTCAATTTCGCTCTGCACTCTCATGTGGCGGAATTCAAGCTCCGGGATTTGCTCATTCTCGGTTGGAATGTCACGCGGTGAACATTACCCTCGGAGGCAGTGGGAACCGTGCTGCCCTCTACTGTTGCACCAGAGGTGGCTTGAGAGAGCCGTAGCTCTGCGATATCCGCTTCTGCGGGCCGTTCTCTAAATCGAAGAGGTTTGCACTGCCCTGCTAGGGTCCCTGAATGGATGATTTGTCTCATGATAATGCTGTGAGCACAACTGGAATATAATTATTTTTATTTTACCAGGTAAGGCCTCACCGAGCTATTTTTCAGAAGCGACCTGGCTATCACAAATGGTGGCTCAACGAAGTGGCTTATCATCATCGTGTGGAAATTTATAGCAGCCAAATACTATAAATGCACGTTGTCGATTCTAAGTGTAGAGGGGGAACACCGAGGGACCCGGATAAAAATCCACGTGACCACGGGGAGAACACGCAAACTCCAATTATACAGGCGACAGGGTCGGGATTGAACCCACAACAACTTCCTGTATATCAGGGCGAGGTAGTTAACGATCTCGCCACTGTGGCACCAGAAGAAAAACACCACGCACGCGAGGGAGCAACAAGTCTATCCCCCACACAGACGGAACAAGGGGAGCCGACGTTTTGTTGTGCCGTCTCATTCACCTGGCAAGCCTACGAATGGCATCGGGAAGGGAGTTTCACGCAGCACGCGGTGTGTGAGTGAGCCACCAAACCCTCCAACGTCGATGGAGGGTTTGGTCCACGAGTGCTTGGCTTCGTGTGGAAGACAATCTGATAACTCGCAGAATAGCTGGAGGATGAATCATTGCATGGCGAAAGATCACAAAAGAATTCAACTTGCTAACCTTTGTCAATCCACTGCTGGATGAAGGCATCGCCACACAATTACAGCAAAACCTTGGATTGCGAGCATAATTCGCTCCGGAAACGTGTTTGTAATCCAAAGCACTCGTATATCAAAGCACTCTTATATCAGTTGTGATCACGTGACGCTCAACAGACAAAGCGTATACGTACACTACACGTATTGCAAGACCTCGTTTATCAAATTAATATTTAATTAAAAATTTTGCTCGTCCTGCAAAACACTCGCAGACCAAGTTACTCGCAATCCAAGGTTTTACTGTACTGGTCAAGGGAAGTTGTTTTGACCATACTTCATTATGCTATTCATCGCAGGGCAGTGAAAAGGGAAGGTCCAGAACCCGTTCAGACATCACTCCCCACTGATGTTCGCTGGGGGGGGGGGGGGTGTCATCAACTTCACAGTGCAGTGCACAAGTGCAGCCCTGCAACTTCCTGGCTCGCAACACTGCTTGCAGGAAGGAACCTACGCCAGAGCGAGCTCAAAAGAGAGCCTACAAAACAAGAGGGTACTTGGCCTACTCTTCCACACCGGCCTGACGTCGTCTATCACGACTGCCTGCCGCCACTAAAACCATAACGATCACGTGTGCCGCGTTAATGGTTAACGGCTGTGGGGGAGGTGGGGGGTCGATGGGTGGGAGGGGGGTAGATAAGAGAGCACTGGGCCTGCCAAACGACGGCCCCCTCCTTCCACCTCCTCCTCCTCCTCTTTCTCCTCCTCCACAGCGAGGAATCTCGTGCGTGCATTCCTCCCACAGGGCAAAGTGCTGGCTCATCCAGAGGTGTTTGTCAAACCTCCCCCGGGCCTTATCGGTCACCTCAGCCTGCAGTTTCCTTCTGTTATAAAGAGGTCTCTATAAACTATTTATTAAAAAAAAAATGTTTTACCAGGTAAGGCCCACTGAGCTATACAGCAATATTTTTCACAAGCGACCTGGCTATCACAAATGATAGCTCAACGAAGTGGCTTATCATCATTTGGAAATTTATAGCAGCTGCCAAATACTCGCAACGCGTCACGTTAATTGTAAATGTGGGAGGGAAAAACCAGGAGGACCCGGAGAAAAATCCACGCGGCCACTGGGAATGAGAGAGGCATGCAAACTACAAATATACAGCAGGCGTCAGGGTCGGGATCGAACCCCGTACCAGTGGAAGGAATTAAAATCTCGCCACCACGGTGCCCTCTAAACACAAACCCGGTTTAACCGCAGGCAGCCGGCTCAGCGCTCTGAACTCTGACCTCAGCCACCCGGCCACCTCCACTGGCTGCCCCTGCATTCAAACCTCAGGATTTCCCTACGATGCAATGACTCGAAAAAAAACGAGCAGGAACCTCAGTTACCCTTGACACTAATCCAGAACATCTCAGCGTCTCTTCACAGAAACCCAGGATGTCAGCGCGAGTCATCTTGCGAACCTGTAGCTAATCTCGTGTCGCTATCTGGATTCTGATCCAACACCTCAGCAAAAATAAACCATGACAGGCCCAATATATATTTTTGCATAACCCGGACGTAAGATGGGCAAATTGAGAAGAAAAAAACCTACATTTTATACGGACGGTTATTGGTTACCGACCTGAGACCATCAGGCTCACTGCATTTGAGAACCCGGTTTAAATTTCAGCGGTCGAAGCCCAGAATCGAACGCAGGATTCTCAGCCGTGCCGCCTCGGCGTTTCCGAGCCGCTCGCTGCAGCCCCTACCGTCCGTCTGGAAAGCTCTTCCTTCCCATATTAGGAAGCCACCGGGAGCTACGCACTTTTAAATCATCTAGATTGAAAAAATAAATTTAGAACCGCTTTTTGCATGTAATTTGTTGTCCTTTCTCCGCACCTCCGATTAGCGCGCACAGTTGGCTACGCACGATGGGAAAGAAGTTCAACATACATCGCAACGCAGCAGCGAGCGAGCGAGTGGGGAGAGCCACAGAGTGGGGGAAGAGACAAATCCGTCCGCAGAAGCGGCGGCACGATGTCCCCTAAACTCCGAAGTTTTTAAAAGCGATCACAGAGCTCCCTCGAGGCCCACCGCCAACAGACACTTTCCCACCAAAACCGCCACCATTGCCGCTGCCGCTTGTTCTTATCGCACCCTTTTCAATTAGACCTGGCGACACCTCCCACTCAGGAGGGAGCCGTGGAGCATGGCTAGTGGGGGGGGGCGGGGAGAGGTGGGGGGGAAACAGACGGTGGGAGAGGGAGAAAGGGAGGGAGGGAGGGAGGAGAGGGAGGGAGGGAGACGACGCTGCATGGCTCACAGACCCAACAACAGACCTCTACTTGTGAAAAAGAGCTTTATACCTCATCGGATTCCTTCAGTATAAATAAATAATCGGAATGGGGTATAGGTGAGTTCAAATCCATCATCCCTCAGGGGTCGATAAAATGAGTACCACCGCGTGTGGCAATGCAAACACTGGTTGTCGTGTGGAGAGACTCGACCCCTGCCATAGGAACGAGGAATGTCCACCACCGGCTCAGGGGGGGCTGTAAACAGGTGAGCTCTACCTCCTCGCTCACGCCAATGGTGTAGTCGCTCGGGACTTTGAGCAGCAATGTGAGCTGAACTTACAATCGCACTGCGATTGTAATGAATTACGAGTGACACTATCAAAATGTTAATTGACCCATGTGCGGCCAGCACAGCGACAGTACCCGCCCCCCCCGCCCCCCCGCCCCCCCGCCCCCACAAGTGCTATTCGTAGCGGAACAAAATCTAAAAAAAAAAATCTCATCTCACCTCTCCTGAATACATCAAATCGCTAACGAAACACGTCGCCACAGTGACAATCCACCTAAATCAAATGGGTGCGGGGGGGGGGTGTGTGGAGGCGAAAGATATTTAAAAAAAAATGACAACTATCTTTTGGTATTCGTTTCTTTTTTACACGAGGAGCCTCGGTCGCACGACTGGCTTTCCCAGCTTGTCACGGCACCACAGCGGCTTTGCGGTGCGATAAGAGGCCGTACAGTGCTGCTGCTGCTGTTGCGAAGGCGACGGCTGCACGCAAACTGGAGCGTGGCGGCGAGTCCATCGTTTGCCTCCGACCGAATGAAGTTCAGCATCTTTATTTAGACTGCAGGAAATCCGATGAGACCACAAAGCTCTTTTCTTCCACAGGTGTCCAGAATGACCCGGAAGTCGCCCAGATCTCGTCATATCTCGGGCCGCAAGGCGACGGTCAAGCCAGGATCTGGTGCCAGGTATGGGCAACCCCTGTGCACAACAGGTTGTGTGTTAAAGGCCGCTGGGCTACGGAGGTGGGCAGCAGAGGGCAGTGCGCCAGAAAATGGACATCCGTGAAAAGAGCTTTTATAGCTCATCGGATTCCTCCAGTAGGAATAAATAATTATGATTCTTAAAATATTCTGACTCTGAAAACAAAACGCGCCGCCCCCTTGATTCATGAACCCGATTTCATAGCCAACGCGGTCAAGTCCATCGGCAGCTCACGTCATGGTGGGGTGACGTGTGGGTACTCCCCAACTCTAGGTGGGGATTTAAATATGGGCACTCCCGTCTGACCCAGATGTGCGGGAAGAGCAAACCCAATGGCTTCCTTCGAGCTTCCTCTCGTGGGGATGCTTGCGCCAGCAGAGGTGCGTGCGAGCCGGCGAGAGATTAGAGTGATTTTTTTTATTAAACAAGGTGAGAAGGTTCGAGAGACCGGGGGACGAGTCGCTTGCACGGGTGACCCCCGGTGTCACTCTCGTGGCAGGGGCTGTGCCTTCGCCTAATTAGACTAAACAAAAAAGCTACGTTTAAAATGTTACCAGGTAAGCAAGGCCCACTGAGCTATTCAGCTCTTTTTTCAGAAGCGACCTGGCCACGAATGATAGCTCAAAGAAGTGCTTTATCAAATGGCAACGTATAGTAGTAACCAAACACTCTAAACACGTGTTGATTCCAAATATGGAGGGAAAAAAAAACGGAGGACATGGAGAAAAATCCACGTGACCACAGGGGGAGAGAGAGAGACACACGCTAAGTCCAAATAAATAGGCGTCAGGGTCGGGATCGAACCCACGACCTCCTGTATACTAGGGAAGGTGGTTAACATTTCCTAGCCAACACGGCACGGCACCTACATCACTGTCACTACTTTATTCGTCATGGTCAAAAGTCCAACGTGCTGAAAATGTACCTGCAGATTAATTAATTGGGATGATGCAAAGCAACGTAGCCCCTGAGTGCAAAAGCTTGGCAGGACTCTCAATGAGAGTCTTCAGACTCCTGCGTAAAACACGCGCAATAATGCGGATCACCATCATTACAACAATAAAAATCCGTAAAAAAACCAACACAAACCAATGCTTCTGTACATCCATACTCTGGCCAAAACGAATCTGCTGAAGTCAATGGGGGACCGACGGATGGCCGCTGTTACACAAGACCTTGCCTCCGACTTTTGACCCACCACCACCACCGCACTCCACCCCCCCCACAGCTGACGGCCGTAGGAGCGCGCGGAATGCGGCTCAGGTGAGCGTGACGTAGGGCTCGCGGAGAAAACCTGCACCGACTCCCAGTGGCAACCGTGGCTCCGCCCATCCCTCCACCTCCCTCCACCTCCACCTCTCCCTCCGCCACAAGCCCAGCCTCAGCCCCCCCCCTCTCCTTTTTTGCTCACTGCAGTGTGACCAGGATGCGGTCTCACGACGACGCGAAGTTATGAAATGAAGTCGTGCGTGCGACAGGTTAAACCGGAAAGCCCGCCGGGCTTGTGAATATCTGCTTGTGTGTGCTTGCGACTGTGAGCGAGCGAGCGAACGCCGGCTGTGTGTTGGCGGGGAATTAGTTTGGGCTTGCGTGATGGGGCATGTGGTGGATGAGTGGTGCGTGTGGTGTGGGCGAGTGGTTCGGGAGCGAGGTGGTCGAGTGGATGGTTGAAGTGAGTGTTTGAGTCAGTGGGTATGTGAGTGGGAAGGTAAAGGAGTTGTTGTGTAGGTGGGTGGGTAAGTGGGTGGGTGCTTGAGTGGATGAGTGGGTGGGTTAGTGGGTGGGTGGTAGAGTGGGTGGATGTTTGAGTGAGTGAGCGGGTGGCTGGTTGAGTGGGTGGCTGGTTGAATGAGTGGGTGGCTGGTTGAGTGAGTGAGTGGGTGGTTGAGTGAGTGAGTGGGTGGTTGAGTGAGTGAGTGGGTGGTTGAGTGAGTGGGTGGTTGAGTGAGTGGATGGTTGAGTGAGTGGTGGTTGAGTGAGTGGGTGGTTGAGTGAGTGGGTGGTTGAGTGAGTGGGTGGTTGAGTGAGTGAGTGGGTGGTTGAGTGAGTGGGTGGTTGAGTGAGTGAGTGGGTGGTTGAGTGAGTGGTTGAGTGAGTGGGTGGTTGAGTGGGTGGTTGAGTGAGTGAGTGGTTGAGTGAATGAGTGGGTGAGCGAGTGCTGAGTGTGTTGGCAGGTGGTGGGTTGGTGGATTGGGGAGTGCCTGAGTAAATGGATGGCTACGTGAAACGAATTGTGAGGTGGGCTGGCAAGTTGATGAAAGAATGAGATGGTGAGCCAGAGTCCTTGGGCCAGTTCAATTTCCAAGCGTGGACCATTATGTGTCAATGTTGGGGGCATAATTTTATAACCATCTGCACGTACGAACATTTCCCTCACACTTTTCAAACTCACTGATGTACGAGACTATTAATATCCGGATGAAATCAGACGCGGTCCTTTTGACGACACATTTAACCGCTGCTGCTACCCCATTAGTTTTGTGCCAAATTATGCGATCGGCAGTCTCTCTCTCTCGTTGTTTTTGTACGATCGCACTGGAGCCTTGGTAAGAACAACACGGCGCGTCGCTCTATTCACGCCCGGCACTCGCCTCTGGGTCCTCCCACGTAGCTGCGGTAAGCGGCGACGGGGCCCTCAAAACGGCAGCAGCAGCGGCAATGCAGCAGCCATGCAGCAGCGATGCAGAAGCAGCAGCGATGCAGCAGCGATGCAGGAGCAGCAGCGATGCAGCAGCGATGCAGAAGCGATGCAGGAGCAGCAACGATGCAGCAGCAGTAGCAATGCAGAAGCGATGCAGCAGCGATGCAGAAGCAATGCAGCAGCGATGCAGAAGCAATGCAGTAGCGATGCAGTAGCGATGCAGCAGCAGTAGCAATACAGTAGAAGCGCAGCAGCAGCAATGCAGCAGCAGCGCAGCAGCAGCAGCAGCAGCAACAATGCAGTAGCAGTGATGCAGCAGCAGCAAACACCAGCAGCGATGCAGCATCAGTGCCGATGCAGCAGCGATGTAGCAGCAGCAGCGATCTAGCAGCAGCATCAACGATGTAGCAGCAGCAGCATCAGCGATGCAGCAGTAGCAGCAGCAGCGATGTAGCAGCAGCAGCAGCGATGTAGCAGCAGCATCAGCGATGTAGCAGCAGCAGCAGCAGCGATGTAGCAGCAGCAAGCAGCCACGATGCAGCAGGCAGCAGCAGCCGTCCATGTTGTCGCTGGAACTTTCTGCGGCGCGTGGTTCTCACCTCGCCGGGACGGAGCGATCCCCTGTGAGTGGCGCCGCGCTCCCGCAAACCGGCGCGGCGCCGCGTGCCGAAAGATGAAACGCCGCCGGGCGATTGAATAATAATTTAAAATCGGGCTCCAAAAACGCCATTGTCTTTTTGTCGTCGTTTTGTCTTTTTAGCTGCCTCGCGAGGGAGGGGGGGGCACGCCTCCGGCCTTTGCCCGTCGCTCGTAAACGAAAAGGGAAATCACAGTTTTGCGTGCTACGGAATTGTTAGCATTATTATTTGGGTTGACAATGATGATCATCAGGGGTTCGCAACCTGCCGGTCTCCGGAGCCGCACGTGGTGGCTCTTTAAGGGCTGCAGTGAGGCTATAGAAATTCGAAAATAAAAAGGCTCTCCTTGTTATTTTGGTCGATAACGTCTGACCATGGGATTACAGTTCGCCATGGGAGTCCAGTTCACCATGGAAGTCGTCCAGTTTACCATGCGGCTCATGAAGGACCACCGGTCTCTCGTATGTTCACCAACAGTGCGTTGCGGCTCTTGAAATATTTGTTTATATATATATTTTTTATTCCCGAATCAGAAAAAAAATTGGCATCTCACTGTCTTGGTTTGCCTGAAGACCTGAGCATGGCGCTCGGTGTTTACCCCGTGAAAACTTTGGCGCAGCCTTGAAACTCGTTAATTTCAGGAGGGGGTCCCCTCCACCCCCCCCCCCCCTCCCGTAGTTGTGAGTCCCGAACCAGAAGCTTTTTTTGACATGTGGGTAGCCACCTCACGGTGGCACAGCTCTCGAATGGTTCCAATTTCACTCTCGTGGGTGCCGTCAACAATGAATTGTGATCGCCTGCAAATGGCTCCGGTGCAATGCCAGTCGAGCAGTATGCAAGGGAACGTTTCAGATACGGGATGTTTGGCCAATACCGGTGACACTGCTGGATATTCTCGCTTGTGAGCGACTCAGGTCCCCAAAAAGAACAAAAAGCAAAAAAACTGCAGGTAAAAAAAAACAGTGACGGCTCAATGACGAACATATGAATCGTATTAAAAAAGTGAAAAATAATGGACAAACATAAATCTACGTTAAATAATACATTCCAAAGAATGAAGTAATAAATTCCATGGTGGGGGTGGGGGGCTATTGATAGAACGCTCACAACGATGATCCAATACCCAACGCAATTTCAGTATAAAGTTGCTTCACTGTTTGTAACTTCAGCTTCATGGATACCGGCCAATTAAAGAGCCACCGATGAAATAACAATTCTGCAAACATCCAAACGTTGTTTTCTCCCAACACCCCCCCCCAACCCAACAGCATGAGAGCCAATTGAAAACGTGGGGGGACCGGACGGAATCGGTGAGCAAGCTGTGATCTTTCATCCTCGTTGCGACTCTTAATGCGCTGTTTGCATGACACCAGGTTTCCGCATGTGCGTATGTGTGCCTGTGTGACACCACAACAACGAGCGGAGTGCCGGGCAGCTAAAACACAGCACAATAGGGGGCACAGGTAGGTGCATCGGCCAGTCGTCTCATCAGTCGACCCGTGGTACCTGGGTCTGCCCCGTGACCTCCTGCCGGCGGGCGTTCGACACTTCACGTGGTCTTAACGTGCACATAGCCTGGCACAAGCGCCGTGGTGATGTCACCGCCACTCATTGGCGAATGAGGGTTGTTGTTGTTGTGTGACACCAGGCCTCCCCGTGTGTGTGAATAGGAGACGAGACGTTAAATTGGCCAATGCTTTCACGCCCTCCCTGGGAGTCTTAAATTAAGAGCCACCCAACGATTCACTGAAATCACCTGCTCAGGAGCTGCCAACGTAAATTGGTGCTCAAGCAGGGAAGCGGGGGTAATGTTCAACTAGATTTGCAAACTAATCTCCGGGAAACTTTAGCAAAACTTAGACTCTGGTCATTAACCTGCCACTTATAAATTCAGCCCACTCCCCGCAACTCCCGACCCAGCAAACCCCACCCACATCGCAACCTCACCCCCCCCCCCCCACCAATGAAAAAGAGGTGAATTAATAAATAGCCAGTCAGTGTGGTTAGAAATACAACAAGAGAAAATGCCCAAAACATCGCCTCTTTTAGAAACATCGCCTATTTTAAACCTTGTATATACACACACACATACACAGTACCGTGTTCTGCTGAGATTAAAACAGAGAGACGCAACTTCACGTTAAAGTCTCATTCGGCGTTACCCATGACCCCCCCCTCCCCCCCCCATGACAGACGGATGGAGCCAAAGGGGACCATCGACGCCTTTAATTAGCGCGAGTTGGAAAGCTTTCGAAATTAGACGACGGTAAGAAAACAAAAACGATGTCTCTCAAATCGAACTCTGACCCTACACCCCCCTCCCCACCTCTCCGAATCGCCGCGAGTGGGGGTGCGACCGCAATCAGCGGGGTTTCTAAGTTTGTCGTCACGTCGGCTTTTCGCCGTTGCAAACTTTCAAGTTGACTTTGTTTCAACAGGGCAGGCGTAAAAAAAAAGGACGTGGATTAGTCTCATTCCTGCTTTGTGGCGCGTCGGCTTCACCCGGCGTGCTTCCGGCTAGTACCGCGTGGTGTTGTCCGGCACGACGTCCGACGTTTCGCGCCACACGTGGAGCGGGCGGGGGGGGGGAGGGAAACCGAAGAAGTTCCCAGCACCACGGAGTGAAACGTCGGACACATCAGAGAAGAGCAAGCCCCCTTGAGAAATGCTGACAACAAGAGACGCAGCTGCCCAAGAGCTAAGCAAGAGCCCCATGATCTCAGGAATTCTGGCATTTGACGATAAACAAGCGGCGTAAATATATTACAGACGAGATAAGAGGATGTCTGTAACGTCTCAAAACATTTTATCGCTTTTCTCTCGGCAGCATCACCAGCGCCAGATTATCCGTTCCAGCGAGCCGAGGGTAAACGCTTTGCTCGTGAGATTGAAACGAGGAGGAATTTTAAACCCCTCTCTGTAATGTGTTTTTTTTTATTTGCTCGGAACACATACCGTGAATAAAAACGTGCATAATGTCAACAAAAAATAATTTACATTCTCCTTTGTAAAAATAATAATGATAAGCACACGCATTAATAACTTAAAGCTCTGTAAAATCACGACTGCATGAAGGCCTCTGTAAGCCATGTCAGTCAAAGGGCTTTCTTCTAGCTCAGGACTGGTTCAGACATCACTCGCCACTAATGTTAACGGTGGTCTAAAAATCGAAAACAGGTGGCCGGGATTTTAGCTCTGCACACGAACCATCGCACCACCGTTACCACCCCGGCCACCACCTCTGGACCCCAGTTCGATACCCGGCCAGGCCTAACATGCGTGTCGAGTGACATCCAAACTGCTCCTGGGTTACCAAACCCCTTTCACAGAAAGATGCACTGACCAGCTGTCGTGAAGTATGGTCAAAGTACCCCTCTAAAGCGGCAACGCGAGTGCGCGTGAGGCCCTGCACCCAAAATCGATTTGACAAAAGGGGGACCCGGAAATTATAATTATTATATATTATAGCATCTCAACCAAGTAGGGGCTATAATTAAAACGGAAATAACGGTGTCCAGATTTTCTACATCAAGGGAGAGATGCAAGCGTTGCAGGTCTGTGCCGTCGTCGCCTTGGCAGTCGTTCACGTTTCAACTTCAAGGTTTATTTTTTAAAAATTTACGCAACTGCATTTTTTTTTCACATCGACTCGCTCCAACCGCTCGCGTTTAATTGCGGAAAACGGGAGCGGCGGGGGGGGAGGAGGTGGTGGTGACCGAAAGCCGCATTGACGGTGCAAGCAGCGGTCACAACGGTGCCAGCTCAGTGGCTCCGGACACGGCCAATTACGAGCCCCATCGCGTCACCCAGCAACAGGGTTTATTGAATTCCGAAAGATGACAACGACGCGTCGGCGTGCTGCCACCGAGACAACTTGACCGCGCACACAAAGGAGGTCGCTGTTCGGCGCGCGGCGGCGAGGCCAACGACGGAGGGGGTCGCAGAAAAAACTTACCGTCAAGCGGCGGCGGTGGATCGCGCAAGCGAGCGGGTTTGTGACGTTGACCGTGCGGCGTCTTTTGAATGCCGATTACGCTTCGCGCTAGGCGCTCAATTTAAGGCTCGGTTGACGTGGCGGATGCCCAGGACCGGTTCGGATATTCGCCGCAGTTCCTCGGCCGTGAGCGGGAATCAAACCGAGGTTGTTGGGTTCGTAGCGCGGCGCGCTAACCGCTATTGCTATCGCACCCCGCACGGACACACTGTTTTGTAAAGATCTCCCGTATTTGCCTTTCACAGGCTGTTTGGGGCAAGTGCTGTTAGCTAGCACCTATTAGGGCCAGCACAGCACACAAGGAGGTGGGTGGCCAATGCCACGCCCGGCCACCGTTGCCTCCCCAATTACTATTTAAGGCTGAGTTGACCTAGGGGAGGGTCCAGGATCGGACCTCGCCAAAGTCAACACTGCTTTACAAAGACAAAGATACCCCAAATAAGCCTTCAACAGGCTGTTAGAGCAAGTGCTGTTAGCTTCACACCCACAAAAAGACAAAGACCCCCCGCCCCCACCAGCCTGAACAGACTGCAGGGGCAAGTGCTGTTTGTGAGGCGGGGGGGGGGGCCAGCACAGCCGCCGTCATGTCCCTCGTGGCTAATGTTTACACAACGTGCCAGGCTGCTCTTTGGAGGCCGAGTCCAACTACACCCACACACACACACAGAGTCACCGTGTCTCACAGCGCCTTCCAAACAGGATCGGCAACATTTGCCCCGAAATAACACGCATGCGTGATTCATTTCTAAGCCGCCATTAAACACGGGAGCGCAAGAGTCGCCCCTTTTTAGCTGCAAACAAAACTCTTGTTTTTTGCGAACGTGGCCGAGGATTGGACATGAAAGGGCTTCGCGGCACCAAGGTGACTCGCGGACTGGATTTTGTGACTCAGCACGGTCACTGGCCGATGACCAAATCACCGGTACAGCACGCACCGCATCTCACCAGATCCCAGAAGCCGAGCAGCGTTTTGAGCCTGGATGAGTAACGGATGAATGGACCAAATCACCGGTACAGCGCGCACCGCATCTCACCAGATCCCAGAAGCCGAGCAGCGTTTTGAGCCTGGATGAGTAACGGATGAATGAATGGATCGTTGGGCAATATTATTTGTTCATAATAATATTGCCCAACGATCCATTCATTCAATGCACCCCTTCGTCCCATCGTCTCCACTATCAACTCCCCCACCTACAAACTGGCTCGTTTTCTGTCTGATATCCTGCGACCTTTCACTGGAAAAAACACCTCTGCAGTATTAAACTCTACTCACCTGGTATCGACAATCAAGGGTATTTCCGTCCCCAGACGACCTGCTTGTCAGTTTTGATGTTGTTTCCATATTCACCAAAGTTCTGGTACCTGACACAATCGCAATCATTGAAGACTTGGTTCATCAAGGACTGCATACTGATGTACCCCCCCTGGGGAGACACTGCTTAACCAACATATACTTCACCTGGAATGGAACCTTCTACAAACAAACTGAGGGCACCCCAATGGGCTCCCCCCTATCTACGGTTGTAGCCAACGTGTTCATGTAAAAATTTGAAACTGACGCCATCCAGACTGCCACTCTACGCCCGACCTTATGGAAGACGTACATGGATGACATCTTTTGTCATCTGGCCACATGGCCGGCCTGCTCTAGACCAATTCCTCGACCACATCAATTCCACACACCCAGCCATCGGATTTACCATGGAGGTCGAAAAAGATGGCAAGCTACCCTTTTTGGATGTCTTAATTAAAAGGAGACCTGATGGTTCAATGAGCCACTCTGTCTACAGGAAAGCTACCCATACGGATGCTTACTTAAAACCGGATTCCCACCACCATCCATCCCAGAAGAACTCCCTCATCAAGACTCTATACCATAGAGCCCAATGCATTTCCGACCAGGAACACATTGCCAGTAAACTCAAGCACGTACACCAAGCTCTCAAGGGTAATGGTTACTTCGACTACACAATCCGCAAAGCCATCACCCCAGTCATGAAGAAGGATCCTCTTGAGGAGCCATTCAAAACCATCACCTTACCCTACATTGCGGGGGTCACAAAAAAGATCTCCAAAATCCTGAATAAACATAAGTTCCAGGTCTGAATCAACACAGTACATAAAATCCGTGATCTGGTTCCGTCTGTAAAAGATGTGGTTCCAGAGATACAGTACCCGGGCGTTAACAAACTAAGTTGCCTCTGTGGTAGCAGCTACATTGGAGAAACCAAACGACATATCTCGGACCGCATCCGTGAACATAAAGCAGACTTGAAACACGGTAGGACTAATTCCTCAGCTGTGCCAGATCACTGTTATAATTCAGTGGGCTCACATGACATTGACTTCTCCAAGACGGAGGTCCTCTGCAAGCCATCCGGCTACCATGAGAGATTCGTTAATGAGGCCATCCACATATACAAACACAGAGACAATTTCAACTGAGAAGATGGATTCTGGCTTAGTAACCATTGGAAAGATGTTATAAACCATTTCGGTTCTCAATTGATTGTATTTTACGGTGACCTTCAGACCGCAGTCCATTCGCTGGCACTGCCTCTTAATACCTTTCACACGTCGGTTAATGGTATGGTTTATAGCATGTGGTATAATAGTATAACATTGTAATGTTTAACATAATTCATAAGGCAATATATAGTATCGTAATTGTATAGTGAATATACAGCATTGTGGTATATAGTAGGATTGATAGAATAAGACAGTGTAATGTTACAAGTCTAATACTTTATAGTCAAAAGTATAGTGTAGTCTATAGTAGCGCATTGTATAATTCAAAGGTGGAATTTTGTCTATGGATATGATATTATACCATGTAGTTTAGATTGGAAGGTATAATATTGTACTGTATAGCAGTCCAGTTTGTAGCAGAGTTACAACGCAACACAGGACAGAGCAGCCCACCTTGGCTGCTCTTTAACCTTCCTTTTCTGTCTGCCCAGCCGCCACCCTCCTCCGATCCGGTGGTGGTGCTGGGTGACACGCTAATTCGTATGTTAATTCCGCCCACACAGCTTAAAAGACGCGACCCATGCTTAGCAATGTTCACTCAAGCACTGTCTTCTGGACAGTCCTGTTCATTCACCTGAAGAAGGCTACTTGTGTTGTGGCTGAAAAGTCGTGAGAATCTTATTTTATTATGCTTTATTTTTATTATTTTATTTCCATTCTACGTGACTTTACCGAAAGAACCAAGGAGATTATTTTTTCACTTTACCATATTATTTTTTCACTTCACCGTATTCTTTTTTTCACTTTACCATATTATTTATTCACTTTACCATATTATTTCTTTATACCATATTATTTTTTCACTCTACCATATCATCTTTTCACTATACCATATTATTTTACAATACCATATTATTTTTTTCACTATACGATGAGATTTTAAAGCTTCAGGATACAACGACGCTGCCGTCGGACCGCGTGAATCTACCCCCCCCCCCCCCCCACCACCCCCACCACCACCCCCACCACCACCCCCACCACCACCCCCACCACCACCACCACCACCACCCCCACCACCACCCCCACCACCCCGACGCCGTCACCGACTCGCCTTTGCGCTGGAGGATGACGCGGAGGAGCGGCGCGGCGGTGGACAGCGCCTTGATGTAGTTGTCATCATTGTTGATGGGCAGCAGGTCCCCGTGCACGTCGGCGTAGCCCACCAGCAGCTCGGCGCTCGGCGCGCAGTGCACGAGGCGCAGCAGTTCGTAGAACTCGTCGAAGCAGCTGGGCCGCGAGCGCGCCAGCGAGAAGCGGCGGAACTCCGCCTCGAACTACGCAAAGACGGGGGACGGCGGATAACAGTCAGACGGAGAGGCGGAGAGGGACCGCAGAAGCGAGACTAAGAGGGACGCTGAGCAAGCGGTGCACGCGGGTGTGTACGTTGAACTTCTTTCGCGCCGTACGCAGCCAACCCGCGCCAATCGGAGGTGCAGGAGCAGCGGCGCCGACGACCACGCGATTTTAAAACCGGCGGATGGAATCGCCCGAAGTCGATCGTTTGCGCTCGCGAGTCCGAGTACGCGCGTAGAACCCACTGAGACGACGGAAGACGACCAGGGGGATCCACACAAAGAGGGTCCCCCCCCTCTCTGGGTGAGCCTGGTGGCCGGGGCGGCTCAGCGGTAAGAGCGAGAGCGGCTCGCGATTGCGATGGTTGCGAGTTCGCATCTCGGTTGGCGAGGTTGACTCAATCGCCATTGGTTCACAGCACGGAGAGGCCAGGGAGGTTGGCCGATTCTTAATCTACTCTGGGCTGGCCTCTCTCTCGGTGTCTGCTAAGAAAATAGACCGTTGCTCAAAACGCCCCGCTGTTATTCACTTCTCTCTAAGACCGCAGCGTTCTTGATGAATGGTGTTTGAGGTAATTTTGTTTACATATATGTATACAATATTGAGATTGATTGATCAGTTGAAATTGCTCAGGTTTCTAATTCGTGCCACGCAATTTGCGCGTGCGAGAAATAATTCGTTACGATTATGCAAATTGTATGCAGAAGATAAAATGCATAAGCTAATTAGGCGTGTCATTATTTTATCTCCCACTCCACCACTGGCAAGTAATAATTGTGTGCAAAGAGTATGCAAAGTGAGCCACTAATGGTTCTTAAAATGCTACTTAGTGTAAATAAATGTAGCCGGGTACATGCGATGGTTACACTTAGGCTAACGAAGCGACCACAAAATTGTAAAAAAAAATACTGAAATTAAAAGTGGAACAATAAAGAGGAAATATTAAAAACTAGCCCGATTTATTTTACATTCTCAATTCAAATTACGACCCCCAAAATTGACAATTAATCGATTCGCTTGGGAATCATTAACGTGCTAAGTTAGAAAGTCCCATACTTAAGTTCAACGAGACCTAGACTTTGGGCGGCAAGGTGGCGCAAGTACTTCCACTCGTATGTTCGTACGTTGAACTTCTTTCGCGCCGTACGTAGCCAACCGTGCTAATCGGAGGTGCTGATCATAGCAATGACACTGAAAAGCTATAATGCCAACTAAAAATAATCACGCGAACGAACAGAAATTACATCCAACTAGCCACAGGCATCCTCCGAGTGACACGGTGACCAGTTACTTGTGTCTCACGGCAAGGAATGCCTAGGTTCGATTCCCGACTCGGGTGTCCATCATCTCTGGAGTTTGTATGTTCTCCCCCCTGTTCTGCATGGGTTTCTTCCAGCTTCTCAAGTTTACTCCCATTGCTAACAAACCCTTAAATGTACCCAGTATTGGCAAAACACATTCCAGTGCTGAAAAAAAGGCCTGATGCTTAGTCAATTGGCGTTAATAGATTGAAAACTCATTTATTGAGACCTGCTTTTTGTGTTTAGTTTCTTGTCTGTCCCCCGCACGTCCGATGAGCACGTTTGGCCACGTACGGTGCGAAAGAAATTCAACGTACATACAAAGAAGTTCAACATACATACAAATAGGTTCAACATACATATAAAGAAAATAAACGTACATAGAAAGCAATTCAACGTACATACAAAGAAGTTCAATGTACATACACATAAATTCAACATACATACAAACAAGTTCAACGTACATTAAAATAAATTCAACGTACGGTGCGAAAGAAATTCAACGTACATACAAAGAAGTTCAACATACAAAGAAATTCAACATACATACGTAGTAACATCGCCCCCCGACCGAAAAATATTTGGCAGGACCCTCCTGAACAAAACGAGTCTTGAGACTCAATGTACGCAATGTACACAAGCGTAATAAAACATATATAACAATTAAAAATCATCTCTGTCAAGGAAGCCCTGGGTTCACGACATGTGCATCGAAAAAAAACCCATCACAGCACAAAAGAAAGAAGAATATCAACTTAACAGAACATAATCAAATACGGCACAAATATAAGTAAAAGGCACTGTATTCTTAGCACAAGATTAAAAGATTATTATTTTGTAAACACACACCAGGGCTGTGTGCTCCTGTCTGACACGCGTTTAGCGAATAATAACGAGCGGGTGAGAGAGGACGACTCGGAGGCACAAGGAGGAGGAACCACAGACAGTAACGCAGCCACGCGGAAAACCAGCGCTCAATCCCTGCGGCACCCCCAAGCTCTGCAGACCTCTAGATACACATGGAGGGGTTATCAGCCATTTAATGAGTATTTACATGTTCATTAGGAAACCGGAGCGCCCGTAGAAAACCCAACACAAATGCAAGGGGGCAACACTCTATCCCATACAGATGGAATAGATGGCCGTCCACTTTTGCTGTACTGCTTTCTCCTGGCGAGCGAGGGTATGCCACCCGCTCAACGCCCGCGGGAAGGGAGTTTGTCAACATCTGTGTGCGGTGATCCACCAACCCCCCCCCCCCCTCCTCGCTGATGCCTCTACAGCTCTGGATTACAGGCAGCCACGTGTGTAGTCACCACCAACAACACCACCGGCCCAGCAATGAGGATGGAGCGGTGGCACAGTGGCTCGACCGAAACCGACATCACGAGTTCAGGCTCGCCCCGCACACGCAGCGCGCGCCGTGCCAAGTACCGAGTGGTTCCTTATGGCAAAAAAAAAGAGCAAGATAAAAATGATAGTCACGTGTAAAAAAAAAATGTGTACGTGCATGACTGGCCGAGGCGGCGGGATAGACTTGCAACGCTTGCAAACTCTAGCCTTTGTCGGGAAACGCCGCACACATTTATCTCCATTTGAACTTCGGCCACAAATGTTTGAGATCCCAGAATATGCAACAACAATAATCACAATTGTCATTTACAGCCTCTTTGTAAATTCCATTTTTGGGCGCAGGCCTCGCGCGCACGTGCGTTGCCACATTGTAGAGCGGTACTTTGGCCATACTTCACCACGGCTAGTCACTGCATCTTGCCGAACGGGGTTTGGTAACCCAGGAGCCGTTCGGACGTCACTCGACATGCATGTGATCCCTGGCCGGGTATCGAACTGGGGTTCGGAGGTGGTGTCTGGGGTTGTAACGGTGGTGCGATGGTTCGTGTGCAGTGCTAAAATTCCGACTACCTGTTCTCGATTTTTTGACCACGGCTAACATCAGTGGCGAGTGATATCTGAACCAGTCCTGAGCCAGCGAAAGCCCTTTGACTGACACGGCTTACAGATGTCCCTTCATGCAGCAGTGATTTGACAGAGCTGTAAGTTATTAATGTTTGTGCTTCTCACTATTATGACTGTTACAAAGGAGAAAATGTAAATCACTTGGTTCAGATATCACCCGACACGGATGTGAGCCCTGGCTTGGTATCGAATTCGGGTCGGAGGTGGTGGCTGGGGTGGCACAATGGTTCACGTGCAGTGCTACAAACCCAGCGACTCGAGTTCGACTTCGAGCCACGGCTAACATCGGTGGCAAGTGATATCTGAAAGGGTCTTGCTTCCACCCACCCACCCACCAACCCACCCATCTCATCCCCCAAAGAACCTCCCACCCGCTTCACTCAAAATGCAAACAATGATACATTAATGAGAATGGTCAGCTATATTGAATTCCCGTCTTGAAAACTCACCTCTTTAAACCGGCCTTTACTCTGCTAATCCCCCCCCCCCCCCCCCCCCCCGGCTAGTTCCGACCGTGTACCCTGCAGAGTTCTGTTTATTCGCCGACTTCCATACACGGTGGCAGGGCATTGGCATCTACGGATAAAACGCGGCCCATTTACAGACATCAATTATTATTGTTGTTGTAGCCCCCGCCCCCTGTCTTGATACAAGCACCCCTTTTGCCCACTTCAGCACTTGTTTCTTGCTGTGGTTGTCACACCTGATGACGGACGCTTGTGTCGCGCCCAAAACGTCGTGATTCAATTTATTTCATACCTACGTGACTTTACCGAAAGAACCAAAGAGTCTTGTTGTTATTCTTAGCTCTTTCGGTAAAGTCACGTTGAAGGGAAACAATAAAATAATAAAATACACAGTTTTATTGTTTTATATATATTTTATTATTTTATTGTTTCCCTTCAACGTGACTTTACCGAAAGAGCTAAGAATATGAATTACTGCAGTCACGAAAGCTTTAAATCAAAATTTTAAAGTATTGTTGTTGTTTAAAAAAAAAACACTGCAGGTGTGCTAACTGCAGTCAAGTGCCAGCTCAGGCGCAATTTGCACTCAGATCTTCACACACACACACACCAATGCCTCGGGTGGTGATGGAAGATGAGAGCCGGAATTTCGCTGTAATTGGCGCCCGCGTAAGTTTTGAGACAATGAGGCTGTTCGCGACGCTTTTCAAATTAAATCTGAAGGGAAAAAAAATAATCCGGGGTGGGGAAGAAATGCCTAGAGAAAAAAAAAAGGATTGGACGATCCGAATTCTTTTAATTTTGAAAATCGAGCGGCGCCAAAACCCACTGTCGTCACCGCCGGTGCGAAGTTGCCGTTGGGGGAGTTTTTCGCGCTTAAGAAGAAAATGCCTAGGCCGAACTTGAGAATGAAAAGCAACATCCTGACATGGCGTAAGGGGAGAGCCATCATTCAGCAGTGGATTGACAAGGGCGGGGGGGGGGTGTTCATTTTTTTTTTAAGGTGCGCTCTCTTCAAGCAATCAACATCCCAGCGGAAATGACTCTGAGTCAAAGCTCGAGCAAATGACACTAAGTGAAAAAAAAACTCAGCCCTCTCTCAAGAGGCAACCAGTCAACGTCGTATAAACTGTCAATCATTAATGGCAAGGGGGCAGGTGAACCGACAGAAAGTTTGAAGAAAAAAAATGTGACACGGATCATTTACTCCGAACACTCGCGGCTCCAAAGGTTAGG